TAATTCTTTGGACACATTTATAACAGCAGCTTTGAAGTCTTTGTCTGACAAATTTAACACCTGGGTCCTCTCACAGGCAGTCTCTGCTACCTGCTTTTCCCTGTGCGTGGACTACACTTTTCTGTTTGTTTGAGTGTCTCATAATTCTTGTAGAAAATGGGACATTTCAGATATTCTGTTGTAGCAACCTTGGATGCTGACATGCTCTCCACCTTTCCCGTGGGGGTTGTTAGTTTCATTTTTGCTTGTTTATGTATTTATTTATTTATTGGGTGATGTTGCTGGATTATTTTAGTGAAGTCTCTTTCCCCTTAAGTTTGAAGCTTCTGAGGTTGCTCTTTAGAGGACTGAGCCTTGGGCATGCACACAGTCACTCTGGATAACAGTGATTTTAGTAGGGCTCTCTTTGCTGATCTCTTCCTTTGTCTCTCTGTTGATACATGAGTATTAGCTACCACAGCCCAGAAATGACAGATATCAGATAGACTAATGGCCCCAGCCTAACTGAGTTAGGCTTAGGAAAGTATGAAACTTTTTTACTTGGTAATGACGATCTGTCTCTTCCAGCTGTAATCTTAAACTTAAATGAGTGGGGTACAGGAATAGGATCAAGGAAGGGGAGAGTTTCTGTGGACCTCTGAGCCATTTAAACCTAAAAGCTGTGTATTTTGAGTGAATCTGAGATTGGAGAGAGTATACTCTTTATCTTTTTTCCTTTTTCATCATATATCCTTGAAAGTTATTCTGTACTATAGTGGTTTGTGTCTTTAGCTAAAAATTCAATGTCACACTGAAGACATTATTCAACCACCCACTCCTAATCATTGTGTGCCATGTTGGCTTCACTGACGATGCTGATATAACCCTGTTTGAAATATTGTCTTAGAGCATCCTTATTTCTCCTTTATTTCCTGTTTTGAGTTAGTCCCACATCAATTTCCCATTTCAATTACTTGTCTGTTATATTTGTGGGCTGAATGTCATCCAGAATTACTTAGCAGAAGGTCCTATCTTTTATTTTTCACTGAATCTTGTGACATAGCTAGACATGTTCAGCTGTATCTTACATGATATTGTCATGTGTATACAATTAACTTTGCCTCTACTTTAAGCCACATTGACATAACATATTATGGAAACCCTGGTGGCGTAGTGGTTAAGAGTATATTATACCTTTTATTTTTCCATCTTAGAGTAGTTTGATGTTTTACTTTGATTTTGTAAATGGAAAAGGTCCTGTTTTGTCATAGCCTTTTAAAAGGTTTTTAAAAAAACCTGTTGCCATCTAGTCGATTTTGACTCATAGCGACCCTATAGGAGAGAGTAGAACTGCCCCGTAGAGTTTCCAAGGAGCGGCTGGTGGATTTGAACTGCTGCCTTTTTAGTTAGCAGGTGCGCTCTTAACCATTACGCCACCAAGGCTTCTTTAAAAAGTTTTATGTAGCATAAATTAGATCTAGAAGAATAGCTTGAAATAGAAAATGCAGAAAAACACCATTATCCATGAAAATATATGAAATATATCATTGCCATTATAGACAACCATTGCCTATTTTTTCATGTTTCCACGTTTGTTTTTTTCTTATGTGTGTGCATAAAACATATAAATATATATACATATATAGTATAGACATAAAATATATAAAAATGGGATATATAAATAGCATAGGTAAAATATAATACATAAAGTACAAATACACACACATGTATATATTGTATATTTAAAACATAGGATTTATTTTTAAAAGATAGGATATTTTAAGACCTTAAAAAATGTGTGTATGTATTTATATACATATGTGTATAATGGTCGTTTATACCTTTTAAACATCTCAAGTTCCACACCATTTATTTCTTGTTTTATCTTATGTTTTTAAATCAAAAGAAGCTTCTCTCCTTTACCTTTATCTCCTCACCCCTCCCTCACATGCACACACCTTGCTTGCCTCAGTAACAGTCTGTTGAGTGTTAGATTCTATATGTTGTTTAGGTTTCATGAGATTTGACTTCCTTTTGTCAAAGATATACCCCCCTGAAAACAAAATATTTTATTTTGTTTTCAAACTCATCTCTTTCTTCCTTCACTGAATGTTAGAATTCTTTGCTTATCCCCTCCCCCTTTAAGTGTGTATCATACATTTAAAATGTGTGTACCTCGGTAATCTTATTTTCTTCATTTGTAGGTGATTGTCTCTGATGACTCCTAATGCCTAGCATTTTCCATAAGGAAATGATATAGGTGGTGCACAGAATTGACAGTCTTAATAAACAGTACTAATCAACTACAGTAGTAGCTTTTTGTTTTTACTCTCTAACATCAGTAAACAATGGTGAATTTAGGGGGCGACTGTAATACTGTTGAGAATAAATTGGAGATCTGTGGAATTAAAGGGGTAATTTGGAACAGTCCACCCAACCGATTGGGGGATTCAAAAAATGCTCCTCTGCCTTTTAATTATCACAAAAGTAGACATTTCATTTGTATCATGTACTTTAGATGTTTTCTTATGTTGCTTCTGTCAACATGCTGCAGAAATATTGTTCTAAGGATATTTATACGTTCAAGAGACTCTGCAATCTTACCCTTCTCTAGGATTATACTGGTATGTTTGATATGTAAATACCTTAAATTAGGAGGGCTGTGGTGTACTTGTGACTCATAGCAACACTACAAGTCAGAATCAGCTCGACAGCAAAGGATTAGGTTTTTTTTGAGGGGGGGTGTACTCAGGAGTCCCTCAATGGTGCAATTAAGTGCTGGACTAACTGAAAGGTTGGCAGTTCAAATGTACCCAGAGGTGCCATTTTCTGCAACTTGGCTTGTTGAGATGGTCCTTCTCCATACCACTCTTGTAATGACTAAATAGAGAACATATTTACCGTATTTTTTCATAAATAACGTGCTCACATAAATAACATGCCCATACATAACACACAGAAATGATGCAGTTAAGTAAAACACATCTGGCATAGCGCACCCATGCATGTACCACATGTCTCGTGACATTTCCAGAAATGAATTTTGACCTCATTCACCCATCCTCCCATAATACAGGTAAATTATGTTGTTCTTTTCATTTTCTTTTATTCTGTTCATTTTCTTTAATCTCCTGCTTATGTGTATAAAATGTTACTTTTGATCATAATTGTATAATAAAGGTATAAGTCATGGTCCAGGAGTCATGGATTGAGTTTAGAAGGCCCCTGGTAATTGGAAAATAAACAATCAAAACTGTGCTTTTGCTTATTTTATATTGGTAATTATAGCGCAGTAGCTCAACAATTGAATGCAAAAACCTTATCAGATCGTCTTAAGTGAAACCATTAAGTTCTGTTGGGCCTGCTTATTTCATAGTTTAATTATATCTTAGTGTCCATTGAAGTCAGTAACATGTAAAATAAAATTGGCATTAGCGTGCTTGTGAAAATAACACGTGGCGGGGCATTGCGCGGTTGACAAAAAACATATAACGTATGCATTATTTGCAAAAATACAGGACTGAGTCTTTGAAGTTCTAATGTTATTTGTTGCCTTTACAAGCTAGTTTAAATTGTTGGGATGTAACCATTTTCTCTTTTCTTGACCAATATTTCTCAGGGCGTATTTTCTGAAGCTCGGAAGAAAGGCCTGGCAATCTATTTCCGAGAAATCAGCCATTGCAAACCCTGTGGAGCACAGTTCTACTCTGACACATGTAGGGTCACCATTAGGTGAAGTTGATTTGACAGCAACTGGTTTAATCTCTGAAAAATAAGCAGCAGAATGTTATTGCATATATTATATACAAAAATAATTCCAATTAGAAGTATTTAGGAAATGCTGACCTACTTGAAGTTTCTTCTTAGAGCCTTTAATATTCTGATGTGCACTGTGAAGTGCCTTTGATATCGACCATTTCCCAACCCTATTTGGTACTGGATCCCTTTCTTTGTAGAATATTTTGCAGGAATTTGTTCTTCAGTATTGCCATTGTGAAATGGTGTTGAAGATCCTGCTCTGTCTTCTTCTGGCATTTAATTTTGCTTTGTAGGTAATCTGCAGCAAGTATGATTTTTTTGTTTCTTTAGATAACACCCCACCCCTGCTTGAATTTGTGTAGGGCCCTTTTTACTCTCCTTCTAGGAATGACACAAGCAACAGAAAACAACTATGTGTATGTGTTTTGTAACAGGTCTAGGTGTGCAGTCTCCAACAGGAAGGTACTGATGGGGATGAGGGAGCAGGCAGAACAGTTTGCTTCAAAAGGCAGTGTCCCCAGAACTCCTGGTGTGCTGCTTCCTCAGACCTTGCATTCCTGCGTCTGCAGGAAGTAGACAGAGCACACTTCTGTTTTCAGGGACCATTTGGCACAGGATAGGTGGACCCTTGATTGCATTGCTCAGTCCATCAGTCTAAAAACCTACACCACCACAGAAAACTCACTGACAGCAGATTGCCCAGATATTGGGCGAGCTGGGCTGGGGTAAAAGGAAGGCTGTTTCTAACTAACTCCCTTTCTTTCTTCAGGTTCCTTAGCGCCTCACTTAGAACAGCTAGTTTGACTGAATTTAAACACCGAAGCTTCATTGTTCCCTTCGTGTTCTAAATTCACTGGAGGTGACGACAGTCTGTTTTCCTTTTGTCTCTTTCTCAATGGTGATAGGTGTGTTCTCAGAGATTAATGAAACACCTTCGGTGCCCTCAAGTGGTACCAGGATAATTTGAAATTAAAATAATAGAACCTGGGATTTTGTATTTCTGGTTCTCTGTAGAGTTGAATTGCTGAGGTAAAAGACCAGCTTAAAAATGAGCACCGGGGTAATGAAAGTTACTGGCCTCATAGGGCTCATGTATTGTATAAGTTGATTATTATATGAGAATAGTAGCTTAGAAGAGTAGTAACTTAGGATAGTAGCTGACATATCCTGAGCCCTACAGAAGTGTTAGCAAAGATCATTGTTTGTGATATAATGTTATTGATTTGACCTTAATTCTGTTTGCTTTTCCTTCTTACTTGTAGGTCAAACTGTGCTGAAAATATCCGCAAACACATTTTACATACCGGCAAGCATGAGGGAGTCAAGATGTACAACTGCCCCAAGTGTGACTATGGGACAAATGTCCCTGTAGAGTTCCGGAACCACTTGAAAGAACAGCATCCTGATATTGAAAACCCAGACCTGGCGTACTTGCATGCTGGTAAGGGTCTGAAACTATTATAACTCTTGTTCTTTTTTAAATGGGTTTCATTTGCTTGATGACAGTAGTTACAATGTAGTTTGTACATTACTATCATTTATTTTACTGCAGTAGAGTATCTAATAGTTACCTGCTTCAGGATTTATAAAAAAAGGTACTATGTTCTAGTCTTATCCCACTTAAGTATGAAAACAGGTCTTTTCAGTTACATTTTATCAAATGCAGATGTCACAAAATAATCATCCTAGGGCAACAAAGTTAATAATAGCGGATAATCAAAACACAGTTGAACTAAAATGACAGCAGTTGTCTGAGCTTCCTGTTTTGACTGTTTGCTCAGATTTGTAATAAATATCTTGAAAGGAAAAGAATGTGACAAGAGTGAGTGGGACCACTGTGTTTGGGCACCATAGTGCTGTTGTCCTGCCAGCAGTCAGGAGGCACCCAGGGGCTGGGGCGGTGCCAGCGATGAGGTTTCTGCTGGGATTATTCTGGCCTTGCTCAGCCAGAGGTCAGAGACTGTGGAAGGAGCGGAGAGTCGCAAAGTTCAGGGTTCAGCCAATCTATTTCTGTAGCCCACCTTTATCTTTCATTAGCAAGTATTCATAGAGTGTTGAATTCTTCATGCAGAGAACAACAAAATGATGGGTTATATGTTTGGGCACCTATTTGGGGAAGTACTTACTCTGAAGTAAATTTAGAGAAAGATTCCATGATTTAGCCCAAGTAGTACAATATTTAAATTATATCAGTTGATACAGAGGTAGAAAATGCTTCTATCTTTTCTAAAGGTTTCTTTAGAAAACACGTTTTCTAGAGGTGTTCTGTTTTCATGAGAAATTAAGAATTAAACGCTGGTAGTCTTTTCCATAATTGCCTTTATTTTTCTGCTGTCATACTTTTAAAAGATGATGTTGACATTGATATGATTTTTATCAGTTCTTATGTATTAAAATTTAACCATTTAAAATTTACATCAGATCATTACCTGTACAGGATGATGGAGCATTAATCTATCATACTTGATTCACAAGTTGAGATTTTTGTATTTTTCTTTAATCAATTTTTTAATTCTTTCTAACATGTATTATTGAGCTACATTCTATAGCAATTCTTTCTTGGCCAGTTATAAAGAATAAGAATATGAAAGTGTGGCTTTTACCAAACCCCAAGTACTTTTTCTTTCTAATGACTCATAGTGACCCTGTAGGACAGAATAGAACTGCCCCACAGGGTTGCCAAGTCTGTAATCTTTAAGGAAGCAGACTACCACATTGTTCTCCCACAGAGCGGCTGGTGGGTTTGAACTGCCAACCTTTGGTTTAGCAACCAAGCGCTTAACCACTGCTCCACCGGGGCTCCTTAGTTATAAAGAATATGAATATGAAAGTGAGACTCTTAACAAAACCCCAAATCCTTTGTCTTTCTAGTGGTAACTAATTCAGCACCATTTTAACGTATACTTAACTGATTCGTTAATTCTCTGCAAATGCATCACTTTATAGTTAGGCAGATTCAATTTCATATTCCGCGTCTGAGCCCATTACTTAATCGATTGCAGGTAAGGTAAAACAGCTATAGCCTTTTATATCTTAACTGTTCCCTCTCATTTAGTGGCATATTCAGATTTCCTAACTGGAAAGGTTTACTGAATCATTAATTAAAAGCATTAATATTCTGTTACGTTGAGCCTTGTAGGATTTACTCTTTTCCCAAAGTCCTGAAGCTATCCTGGCCCTCTATTTTTAACCCAGTTCCTTTTATCCCCTTTTATTAGTTGGATGCCCTGACACATGTCATGACATTTTGTACAATAATTCATTTTATGAAAAGGTCCAAAAATCTCAGAAAATCCTGACAGTGTCTCATTGGTTCTCCCTTACATAAACCAATTATTACTTCAACCTAAAAAGGAATGAACTTTTTTCTGACATGATTGCCTTTGGTAAATCCGTGCTGACTCACACCTATTAAATTGTACTTCTCCAAATGTATCATTAAGCTCATCCATAAGTATCATCTCAAATTTATTTCCTAATATAGATGTTAGACTTACAGGTCTATAATTTGCAGCCTCTCCCCTCTTTCTTTTTCACCTTCAGACTGGATCCCTCGTTTTCCAGTCTCCCAGCACCTCACCACTAACAAAAGACTTCCTAAAATAATTAACAGTCCAACAATTTGATTCTTTAACCTCATACATCATCCATGGACTAATTCGCTATTTTTCTTTTCTGCTGCTGAATGTCTTTGTTCCTTTCAAACTCCTGTCTAAATACTCTGGAGCTGCATCCTCGGGTCTATTATACCACGATAAATTTGATATTTTGGTAACTGGCCTTTCTCTTCTTATCTTCACTCCTGTTTGAGATCCTAAGTTTAGAACTATCTTATATACTTTGTATTCAATAGGTGAATAATGGCAAAACAGTATTTCTCATGAACCTACTTTTTTCAATAATAATTGGTATCCAGGATAATCACATTAGTGGATGTTTATCAGAAAATAAGCTATTGACTAATTCCAAGTTAAGCAGACTCTTTTCAGTTCATCACCATTTATCTTTTATTGAATATTATAGTGACGTAGATTTGTTCAATACCTTCAGATGATATATTCTTAAATATTTTAAAATTTATTCTGTTTAAGAATAAATACATTCTCTCTAACCTTTCTTCACCATTTCTAAAAAATTTCTTTTGTCTGCTTAATAGTATGGAACAGTGTTAAAGAAATAAAGAATCTCAGACAACTCTGTTTGTCCATCTGGCCCATCCTTCTTGTACTTCCTCCTGTAGGAGGGCAGTCATTATTTTTCTAGAATAATCCAGATTGTGTTCATGTTTGGTTTCCTATTTTACATGGTTACTAAGTAGTACTGAAGAGCGCCGTTGTTTTATAGTATCACATCTTACCTTTTCCATTACAAGGAAGGGTGTTAACAGTGCCTGGGCCAAACTTTTCAGTAGATCACTAAATACTCAAAACAAATCTTTTTTGTAGATATTGTTCCCAATTTAATGATTTTTGAAAATAGGTCTTCAAGAGATTAAGTTGTGTGAAGATAACGTTACTCCAGTGTGTCAGATTCAAACCCATGCCTGTGTGCAGAAGTTTTCCTATTACGTGATCCCGCACAGGCAAGAGCTTTTAAAAAGCCGGCATCTATAGGATAATGAAATTCTTATCATGGAAACCTTAAAAATTTGAGGTTTTAAGATTTCAAATAATCTGAAAACATGTATTAGGAAGTGTTGCGGTTGTTAGGTGCCACTGAATCAATTTTGACTCATTAACAACCCCATGTAATGGAGTAGAACTGCCCTGTAGGGTTTCCTAGGCTATAATCTTTATGGGAGCAAATCACCAGGTCTTTCTCCTACAGAACCACTGGGTGGGTTTGAACAGCCAACCTTTTGGTTAGCAGTCCAGTGTTTCACCATTGCACCACCAGGGCCCCTGTATTAGGAAGTAGCATGGTGTGATAGAATAAAAATACCACTGTGTAAAATTTTTTCACGGCTGTACCCCTACTGCCTAGTACAGAGCCTGGTGCACAGATGATCGGAAGAACAGACGGATGAGTGGGTGAGTGCATGGGTAGATGGTATCAAATGAATGAGGTTATAGCGTTCTGACTTCGTCGTTGACATGTGACTTCGAGCAAATCGTTCAACTACTCTGTGTCTGTTTCCTCAATTGCAGAATGAGTAACAGTATCTAGTTTTTTTTTCAGACATGAAGTTCTAATCAGATAATGCGTATGAAAGTGCACTGTAAGTTGTAGAACAATACTGAGATTGTCTCTGAAAAAAAGGTACTGAGTTTTGTTATTGCTGTTTTAATAGTAGGAAAGTAGAATGAAAGGACTGTAATGATTTTTTTGTATTGATATCAAATTGTTATTAATAGTAATGGATCTCATAGCTATATATGTTTATATGTATTAGTGTTCATACATACACTATCATGACAGTCTGAGCATATATCCAAATTTAGGCCTACAGAAGGCCAATATAGTCTTTTTTTTTTTTTAAGAATAGAAATTTATCACTTAAATATGTATCTATTAGAAATATTTCTATTCTTTTTATGTTATCTAAGGAGCCCTGGTGGTGCAGTGGTTGAGTGCTCGGCTGCTAACCAAAAGGTGGGCAGTTCGAACCCATCAGCCGCTCCATGGGAGAAAGATGTGGCATTCTGCTTATGTAAAGATTTACAGCCTTGGAAACCCTATGGGGGCAGTTCTGCTCTGTCCTACAGGTTATTATGAGTCAAAAACAACTTGATGGCAGTGTTTGATTTTGGTTTGGTATGTTATCTACCATACTCCGTGTTTTTAAAACTAATTTTAAAACAAATACCGTTCTGAAGTAACATCCTTCCTAGTAGATACGTTAATGCTCGGTGAAGTCCTTAATGGCATTCACAACGTTTAAAATACAGTCAGAGTACACAATTAAAATACAGGTTTTGTTAGTAACACAAACAGGGTGAGCTGAAGATATCTGAATTAATAGGAATCTGTTTAATCAATGATTGGAGATGGATCCCAGGGCCATAGATCACTCAGACTCATCCCCTAGCTATGTGATCTTAAAGAAAGGTTTTAGTTATATTTAATGTTTTTCTAGAATAAAATACATCCTCTTCTTTCTTGGGAGGACTGGCAAGGTATAATTAGGTATATAATTAGAGCCACATTAGAACTTTACTTTAAGCTTCTTTCCTTGCCGCCACAAGGTTATATGGGCACAGGACAGTATGATTACCTCATCAGCAGCAAAATTGTGATCTTATCTGGACTAAGATTTGCAGCATTCATGAACTGAGTTTTGAAAGTTAAAATAGTCAAAAAGAAACAAAATTGTGATCTTATCCCCCTGACAACTTCCTTTATCAAAATTTAAAGGGAAAAAAAATTGATTGTGGAAAGTATAGTGGTGGCAGTATGATTTATCAGACAGTTGAGGTGGCTTTTACTCTTACATAGACCTTT